TAATCTTTTTGTGGCATATATTGTATTTGTTGGATTAACAACGGCCTTAAAAAAAGGGGAAAAAAAGATTAATTAAATTTTCTTGATAATAAATCAATCAATAGGTTAATTTTTCTTAAAAAATTATTAACCTGGCGCTTAGCAGCTTGACCAACCAATAATTCACCATCCTTTGAAATTGCCACCACCGATGGAGTTGTTCTTGCACCTTCTGAATTCTCAAGCACTTTTGGAGCTTTACCTTCCATTATTGCAACACATGAATTTGTTGTACCCAAATCAATACCTATAACCGGACCGTTAATTGCAGAGCTATATAATCTATGGAATTCAATGCGACCTAATGATTTCTGTGTCGAAATTTTTTTGATCAATTAATCGAACGTAAATGTATATAGATATCGTATATAAATATGTATATACGTACCGTAGAACGCCATAAAGCGGATTTAATCTTAGGGGCGGTTGAAATTTCATTATACCTTGTTAAACGAAGCATTTTTGTAAAATATTTTATTTGGATAAAATAAAACAAAAATATCGGAATAAAAATTTAGATTTCGTTCGATTAGATCAAAATTTTTTATAAAAAAATTTTTTTGTACGTGTAAATTCTACTCCATGTACCACCACATGCCACGTTGTAATTTTCGATTACGAATAAAAAATTTTTTTGATAATCGATTTCGGAAAAAGTTAGCCGATTCCAATCACTGACTTCAAGCTAAAAGCAAGTTTAAACGCCCACCTATTCAGAAGGAATGGAGATCGCTGGTGGAAGGTCTAGGATAGCAGTTATACCTCAAATAGAGTAGATGTGACCTCCAATGCACAATTTTAAGTTAAAGAACTGGTTTATGTTTAATGTTTCCTTACGGGTGAATAGAGTCGACAAGAAAGTTCCGGGTATGCTTTATACATTAATATATGCAAATAAAATTTTCTCAACGTTGTAAATTTGCTAGCAATATATTAATATGCATCAATGCATGATAGTTCGATACTTGTCATAAAAAATCTTTTCTCGCTTTATATTTTTAAAACCGTCAAGTTTTCCCATAACCAGTTAAAAAAACATAATTAAAATCACAAAAATTTGTTTGTAAATTATCCACAGATTTCAATTGGATGTATTTGGTTCGTCATTATCATCGTTACCACTAACTAGGTCAATATAATCTTTGTCTTCATCAATTATCTGTCTGTAATTCTTTTTTTTTGGTTGTGGCTTTTGTAACATTTGGTTCATACAAATCAGCATCAACCATGGTTTGTAGTTTTTGTGTCATATGGTTCAATAGTCGCTATCATTATCAGCTTTCTTTTAAATTTTCTTTTACTGCTTGTGTCATTTGGTTTTGTTTGATACAATTGATCTTTGTTTTATTAACTTTACTGGTTGTGACTTTTTGTTCAATGTAGTCTTTGTCATTGTCATTAACATCATTACTATTTGATTTATTATTATCTGTAAAAAATGCATTAACTTTAGTTTGTTAGACTTGGATTTTCCATTATCAACTGATTTCTGTGGATGGGTGATGGCATGATATTTTCCTGGTCATCATTTACTAATTCGTTTCACAATATTTCTAATGCAAAAAGATTTTTAACCTAAAGGCCAAACGGTCGGTTCATATGGTGATCATACCATTTGATACTCGTATTAGTTTCAGCGGTGGAGTTTTCTTCTTCGGGACTATGGTTGTGTCCCATCAGGTCTTATATAGATAAGCAAGTTTATTGTTAGAACCAAAATACATCATTGCCTTTTACATTTTTTCATTAGTACAGTTATTTATAGAAGAATTTTTGGCTCATAATCTATTTATGATTTGGTAATTAAGATACGAAAACATGCGTATCATTTATTTCAGCAATCATACCATATGATGTGTATTTATCAGTATCGGTTTGTTTTACCTCCGAAGATATTATAGAAATTCAGCAAATCAATTCATAAAAGTTCGGTTTTCTGAACCATGCATCGAATTACTAATTAAAAAGAAATAAAATCTAACAGTTAATGAAATATCATAAAATCTTTTTTTAATTAATAAAACTTTGGCTTAAAATAAATAACATCTTAATTACCAAAACCTTTTGAGAGAGCGAGGCTACCATTTGTTGGGACTTACACCTAAAACTCTCTCACCTTTGTAAGTCTTACACCACAAAGGAAAGTTAGATACAAAAAATCTTTAAAAACAAATAAAAATTTAGCATATATAACTTTTCTCTCACATAGCAACGAATATCGTGTATCAGACTTTTTAATGTCTAATAATTTGCAATTATTTTTATTCTAAGAAATGACAATAAAAATTACAAAATAATAATAATAATAAATTATAAACAAAATAAGATGTTTGTTTGTTCAATCGTTTTACTCGCACTCTTATTCATATAAATATTAACCAACTTATCTCCAATCTCTTTTGCCCATACTACTTTTAGAACTAAATAAATGTTTAGGTCTTTTGATTTGTATTCTTCTATCAGATTCGCTAGCTTTTGCATTTAAATTAGGTTTTCTTTGAAAGATTTTCTTTTGTTTTTCACTTTCTTTCTTTTGCTGAAAAAATAATAACAACAATAATAGATATTAGTATGAAATTTATTAATATGATTTTTATTATAAAATACAATGTTTACCCTGGGATTTGACATTCCTGAGTTACTACGATCTCGTGTTATACTTCTTGAACGTTCTTTTGATACACTTGCGTCTCGCATAACAATATCTTCACCATCAGTTTCACTAAATCTACGTTTTCTTGTCAAACTCCTTGCTCTTACAGCACTAGTATCTAAACCAAGTTGTCCTAATTGCTCTTCCATTTCATCAATTGACTACAAAACAAAAAATATATTAGATATCTTAACGATTGAGTTATCTTTCACATATATATCGCAACCCGATACCTTGGTGGAAGCTGTTCTAGGCATTCTAGGCTTGTTTTTCATTTTTTTATTGGCTCTATGAGCTTGTATAATCATTTTCTTTTTTTCTTTGATTGCTTCTGCAGCTTTTTTTATCTCCTCCTCTTCTGAGAGCTCCTATATATTCATTTATTAACTATATGTTAAAGATCATTCCAATTATTATTCCTTCACATCCACACAACATACCATTTCTTCTTCAGAATCATAATGACCCTCAGCAATTAATCGTTCTTCCTCGCGTTCTAATGCATCCAATTTTTCTTCAATATCTGGTTCAATAAAATCTGCGATATTTTTACCATCCAAAATTTCTGGAATTTTATCATGCTTCCATTCATCATTTTTAAGCAAATATTTTTCTATTCACAATAATCAATTTACGTAAAACAATTATTTCATATAACAATAATAATGCTATCATCATAGTTATTTAAGAAAATATGTTTAATTACTTTTAAGATCAATATTGTATACACCGGGTCCACCATTCTCAATCTCTAAATCTTTTTCAAGCTTACGTCTTTTAGGATCTTTTATGACATGTGATAATTTATTAATTACTTGTTCGGGTATAAAAGGTGGACGTGGAATGTCATCACGAGCTTGAGGAAGTGCAAGATGAATTTTGTTAAGAACATCATTAATTTTTGATCCTTTCAATTTATATTCAACACGAGCTGCCAATAATTTATCGCAGGCCTTTTTTGAATAATAAATAATAATAATAATAATAATAATAATATATTATTACTTATAATAATAACAACAACCATAAAAATAATTTATAAATTTAATACCATATTTCTCACGTCCATTAAACCTTCATCAGTATGACAACTTAATTGTACAATTTGTACACCGTCTTTCTCGCTAATCTCTTTCAACATTAATTGTTCTTCTGATGATATATTTTCAAGCCGAATTATATCAACTTTATTTATAACAATAAATGTTGATTTATTAACAAATAAAGGCTTAATATTATGATACAATTTGATCTAGATTGATATTATATTATAATTAATATATATATCTTTTTTATGTATGTGCGTATATATATATATACGCAAATGATAATAAAGTAATAACTAACTTGATCAGTAATACTATAACCACATTGTTCGGAAATGTCCATGAAAAATAAAATGCATGCACGAAGATGAGCCAAAGCAGTAACAGATTGCATTTCAATGGTATTCATTTGTTCAAGTGGACGATCCAATAAGCCAGGTGTATCAATTACCTAAATAGTATATAGTATAGATTAATGTATATGTTATAATTCATGTGAATTCTTGGATATTACCTGCCATCTAAGATATTTATAGTCCATATGCCCAACAAATAAAGATTTTGTTGTAAAGGCATAAGGTTGGACATCAACATCTGCTCTTGTTACTTTATTTATGAAACTAGATTTTCCAACATTTGGGTAACCGCAAATCAATAGAGTTCGAGTATTTGGATCTATTGAAGGAAGACGTGCAAGATGTTGTCTAACTTGTTCAAGATACGCTAAGCTATCTTTTTGACGTTTCATTATGGTAGCCATTCTAACGTTAATATATAAATTCATGGATATATTTATAGAAAGCAATCAATTAAAACAATTTAATAATCTTTCAAGAATAATTGACCAATAAAAGTATCAACCTTCCAAGTGCAGCCTTTTTTAATTGTTTACATCTGTAAAGAGAATCACCGAATTTTAATAAACGAGTATATTCTTTTGCAACTTGGTCGATTAGATGACGAGCAGTATTTATTTGTCCTAATGCTAATTTATAATGATCTTTATCATATAATACATTCATCAAATCTGAATAGAAAGGATGAATATCCTAAAAATTTGTAAACAATCAATCAGTAATGACTTACGATTTTATTTACACTTTATAAATATGTAAATAAAATGTAAACTTACATCAAGTTTAGGGAATTCTTCCAACATATTTTTCAACTTTTCCTCAAAGCTTTCTTGAGTAAATTTAACCTTACGCATGTAGAATTGTCTTATACGAGTGATTTTGTACTGCTTGTGAATTACTGTTGGAGTTTTCCTTTGAGTTTTTGAAAGAACTATATCGAGAAAATCATTAGCTGAGGGGACCGGCTGAATACGCTTAAAATTATATAAAGCCATTTTGTATTTTGACTAATATAAAATAAAATTTAGATTTTTATATTTTTTTTTTTGTTGTAGACTTCCACGTTACACTAGATCTGTTAATTTTAACGATATGAAATTATTAAATTTAAAACTTAAATTATTTTTTTCTTTTTTTCAAATTATTTTTATAATATAATATTATTATTATATCAATGACGTCCAAATTTGCAAATTTTGTTACTAGACAAAATATTATTTTACCAAGTGTTATAAGATCCATTAGGTGTCAACAACATGAAAAACTATTTATACAACAAAACCAAAATCAATGGCAACACCAACATCAGCAACAAATTAGATTATTTTCACTTACATCATGTTTTCAAAAAGAAGAAAATACTAGTAAATCTCAATTAAAATTTACTGGTGACAACAAACTTAGT